CAGAAATGTTAATTATTCCAATTTTTTAGTTCATGCATCGTGCCCTCACAGAATGCACGCCATCGACGCTCTTGGCGAAACCTTCTGTATTCGCCATATACTAGTAGTTTGGTCGCATCTCCCTTCCCCCATCCTCGGTTGGACTCGGATGAATGTAACCGACCGCATTTGGGTTCCTATCGCCTCGAGACTGATCTTCATGATGCCCTCACTGAATGCCCTTCATCGATGCTCTTGGCGAAGCCTTCTATATTCGCCATATACTAGTAGTTTGGTCGCATCCCCCTTCCCCCCATGTTCCCCCATGTTCGGATGGACTCGGTTGAATGAAACCGACCGCATCTGGGTTCTTGTCGCCTCGAGACTGGTTGTCATCATGCCCTTACAGAATGCGCTCCATCGGCGGTCTTGACAAAGCCATCTATATTCGCCATATACTAGTAGTCTGGTCGCATCTCCCCCATGTTCGGATGGACTCGGTTGAATGAAACTGACCGCATCTGGGTTCCTATCAGCTCGAGACTGGTTTTCAATTTCGCCACTTATTTTTGTTATTCAAGGCGATACAGGCCAGTCCTGACCGACCCGCCTACGTACCATTTTATGAAATCCTTTACACAATGCCATATACAGCTGACATTTATTTCGGCCATGTTGATGTCGGGCTTTATTCCATTTTGCACCACCACATGCAGGCCAGTTCTCCTTTTTTTCTGATGCTATTTTTCTGAGGGTTTTTGTTCTCCTGTTAAATTACTACAATCATTTTTAAATTTTGCTTTGGAGTTTTTTTTTTCACCCCTCGTTTTTTTCATTTTCATTTTGCTTAACGGACTTCTAATCTCAAAAACTATGCATTGCACTTTGTGCAGATTTTGCCTACATCGTCTAAAATTTGCATGTAAATTTATTTTTACTTGCTTTGATGGGACCCCGACGGGTCTTTAATAAAAATAATTGAATTAATTGAATTGAATTGAATCTGGTAGACCTCAGTAGTGGATCAACTGCGCCAGGTGCGTCTGTGCGCATATTTGTGCTTCTGGTTCCACCTGTTGGTAAGGGTTATGATTGACTGAATGGAGGCCCAATAAGCCCGAAACAGTACTGCATCAATCTACCCGCATTCTCTGTTGTCTCTCCTCCCAGATATGCATATATATACCCACAGTTTTCTGCGTCTGGCCTGTTCCACTCCTAGTGACCTGCTTATATATCATATGTGGTATATGTCCTACCACACAACATTCGTCGTCGTCAGTAGCAAACTGGCGGGCAGATAGAATGGGAAGTATTGGTATGTTAACCACAACACGGAGTGTCAAACGCTTACTTGACGCGTTTTCAATCTTTTAACAACTATGCCTTTCTCCCTTGTAATGATACAATAGTACTTTTGGCGTCGTGTCGTCTGCCACAGCTTGCCTTAGCTATACTCAACGTCTTCAGTATTGTCCTAAATAAGGCGACATCGATAGTCCATAAAATATTCCAACTTAGGACTTTTGTTAAAGTCCAGAATACTGATATACTTTCTGATACTGAGACGTGGTCGGGCAAACTAATATAGAATGCTTTGCAGTATGTCCCATATTACAAGTTGGATCGACATGACCGCATAAGTAGACGAGGCGATGGTTGTCTGATTTGCATTAAATCTATCCTTAAATAAAGTAGTTTTTATGTGTCCGATGAAACTCTCGTTTGAAAAGCGCGTTTTGCCATAAAACGATTTTAAACCCAAGAAAACATACTAATCAGGCGTCTGTTTTCACCTCCAGAATGCATTAATGATGACACAGACCAAAACCATCTAATAAACAGTATATCCAGGGTTAAAAATGAATATAAGGCATATTTGGGAGACCACGACATCCAGATATAAACTGGATTAAATTATCGGCCTCAATAGGCATGATGAATCGTTGTATTTACTTATCCTCCCCAACTGGACACCGACAGGAAAAAAATGTGTGCCTGAAAACAACATACTAGACGCTGTTAATAAGAATAATAATAATATTTGTTTATTAAAGACTCGTCGAGGTCCCGTAAAATCAAGTAGAAATAAATTTACATGTGAATGTTAGACGAGGTAGGCAAAATCTGTAAAAAGTGCAATTCATAGTTTTTGAAATAGAAGTCCATTAAGAAAAATGATTAGCGAGGGATGAAAAAAACTCCACATGAAAATTTAAACATGACAGGATTAATTTTCCAGGAGAAAAAAACCCCTCGGTAAAAAAGCAATAACAGAAAAATGCGGGCAGTACTTCCCTGCATGTGGCGGTATATAATGGATTATAATCGGACATCGACAGGACAAAATAAGTTTCAGCTCTATATGGCATTGTATAACGGATTTCATGAAGGGGCAAGTAGGCGCTCAGACAGGACTGGCCTATATGTGGCCTTCAATAAGGCAAATAAGTGGCGAAACTGAAAACCAGTCTCGAGGCGATAGGAACCCAGATGCGATCGGTTACGTTCATCCGAGCCCATTCGAGGAGGGGGCAAGGGAGATGCGACCAGACTACTAGTATATGGCGAGTACAGAAGGTTTCGCCAAGAGCGCCGATGGAGCGCATTCTGTGAGGGCACGATGAAAATCAGTCTCGAGGCGATAGGAACCCAGATGCGTTCGGTTAAATTCATCCGAATCCATCCAACGATAGGGAAGGGGGATGCTGTGGCGGTGAAGGATGTGAGATCAACTTAAACCACACACAATAAGTTCGTTTCGCCTACTGTCAGAAGTCAGTGAGCTGTGAGGACTAGTTTATTCTGTACACAAGACAGGCTGCCGTAAGTTGGCTGTTTGCTTGCAACAGAGATAAGCGTCCGGTCGCGGAGAGCGTCAGTCGCGGTTTGTCTGTTGTTTACGCGGGTGTACATCTGGGTCAGTAGGAAAGGTGACTGGTTGAGTGTTGGTCGTGTGATTGGACAAATTAGGGGAGGAATAGGGGCGCATGCACACAATGCCTCACGGGTATCAAACCAGGGCGTTGGACGCGCGTGAGATGATGAAAGTTTGTGAGGTCAGCCGACAGTCACTGAAGTTGGACCGGAGGTGTCTGAGTGTTAGCCGGCGGGGGTGGCTGTGTGTCAACAGCCGTCGCAGCCATTGTTCGACAAAACGCAGCCGGAGAAATGGGGGACTGGAGCGGCTGTTACAACTCCCCCCAGACACCAAACGAAGTGAAGGCGTCGAAATGCTAGCCAGCCACAAACCGGTCGGGCCAGTGGACGTGGCGACCAGATCGTGTGCGGCGAACCAGAGGCGGTCTGTCGCCAGTAGTTGGAAGAGGCCGCACTGTCTGAGGCGGGGTACAGTGTTGAGGTGAGGAATGGTCACTGTCGTCGATGTAGGGTGGCTTGACGCGATCAATGCTGACTGTGTCGGTCTTGCCGTTGCGGTCGATGACAACGTCTTTGTCAGATCGACGAAGGACTTTATACGGCCCGTCATCGGGTGGTTGGAGTGGTCGTCGGACAGCTTCATGCCAAACCAAGACAAAATCACACTTATCCAGGTCGGGAGGGATGAAGGAATTGACCGGTGACGCCCGAGATGGCGTTGCGCGGAGATTGCGCATGACACTACGTAGCTGCTCCACATAACTGCAAGGTTCGAAAAACGTTAGCATGTTTGAGGGAGACACGAACTCACCGGGCAGTCGTAGGGAGGTTCCGTAGACAAGATCAACTGCAATGCAACCGATGTCGGCCTTGAGAGTGCAACGGAGGGACAACAGCATCAGGGGAAGGTGATAAGACCATCGGGAAGGATCGGGCTGGGCCATAAGGGAAGTCTTGAGCTGTCGGTGGAAACGTTCGACGAGACCATTTGCTTGAGGGTGGTACGCTGTTGTTCGGAATTGGTTGGTACCGAGAAGGCATGTGAGTTCGCAAAACAGCATGGACTCAAATTGGGATCCGCGGTCAGTGGTGACAGTCGCAGGAACTCCAAAATTGGACGCCCAATGAGTCAAGAAAGCTTTCGCAACGGTTTCAGCACTGATGTCCGGAATGGGCGCAGCAAACGGCCACCGAGTAAAGCGATCAATGCATGTCAGCATATGGGTAGAACCGTTAGATGGTGGAAGCGGCCCTACTAGGTCAATGTGCACATGACTGAAGCGTGCATCAGGAGTGGCGAAAGTTACTGGCGGAGTAATAGTATGCCGATGCGTTTTGGCTCGCTGACATGTCAGACAGGATCGAGTCCAACGCCGTACATCCCGGTTGATGTTGGGCCAGACGAATCGGTCAGTGATCAGTTTCACTGTCGCCCGGACTCCAGGGTGGGATAGATTGTGAAGAGCGTTGAACACTTGCCGTCGTAAAGTTGCAGGGACAAAAGAACGTTCATGTCCGGTAGAAAGATCACAAGTTATGGTGCCAGTGCCATTAGGCAGGGGGACATCTTGAAGGCGTAAAGAAGAGTCCTCGTGGCGGTATTCAGGAAGTTCGCCATCCGACCGTTGAGTCTCAGCCATGAGTGTGTAGTCTATGGCGTTTGTTGTGACGGAAGCCATCTCGATTCTTGAATGAACATCAGCAACCACATTTTTTATACCATGGACATGTTGGATGTCGCAGGAAAAATGAGAGATGAAATCAAGATGACGAATTTCACGGGGCGAGTATCAATCGGGAGAGGCCCTCAGTGCAAAAACGAGTGGCTTGTGATCTGTTAGAACAACAAATTCACGACCCTCGAGGAAATGGCGAAAGTGCCGAATAGATAGGTAGACGGCGAGAAGTTCTCGGCGGAAGACACTGTAGCGGGTCTCTGTTGGGCTTAGCTCCTTCGAGAAGAAAGCTAGAGGCTGTAGAACACCACTAACAGTTTACTGAAGTGACGCACCAACGGCAGTGCTGGAAGTATCTGTCATGAGAGTTAGTTGGGCATCTGCGCGGGGGTGGGCTAGTAGTGTTGCGCTCGCAAGTGCGGCCTTGACGTCATTGAAGGACTTGACGGCCTCCTCGGCCATCACCAGTGTCTTCTTGGAGTTGGTCAAAAGGCTGTTGAGAGGCTGCAGTATGTGGCACCATGGGGAAGAAAACGGTGATAGTAGTTCACCATCCCCAAGAAGCGGCGTAGTTGGTTGATGGTTGTCGGGACGGGGAACGATGATATGGCCAAAACCTTTTCCGGGACGGGCTTTATTCCATTTGAGTTCACTTCGTTACCCAGGAAGATTAGACTGGGGACTCCAAACTCACATTTAGGAGCATTTATTACAACGCCAAAGGAGTCGAGTCGTTCGAAGAGTTGTCGAAGATGAATATCGTGTTCAGCAGCGTCAGAACTAGCCACTAACAAATCCTCAATATAGGCGTAGACGAAGTCGAGACCTCGCAGAACCTGATCAATGAATCGCTGAAAGGTTTGGGTGGCATTCCTCAGTCCAAAGGGCATACGAGTGAATTCGAATAACCCAAAGGGAGTGGTCACTGCGGTTTTCGGCACATCACTGGCTTCGATTGGGATTTGGTGGTAGGCGCGCACAAGGTCAATCTTGGAGACTATTCGCTTACCTTGCAGCGAAAGAGTGAAGTCTTGGATGTGCGGGACGGGATACCGGTCGGGGACAGTCACAGAGTTCAATGCCCGATAGTCACCACACGGTCGCCAGTCACCGCTCTTCTTTGGGACAAGGTGGAGGGGTGATGCCCAGCAGCTGTCGGACTGTCGGATGATGCCGAGCTCAAGCATGTGTTCGAACTCTGCCTTAACAATCTTCAAACGGTCCGGAGCAAGACGGCGTGGTCGGCAAGATTTCGGAGGTCCGGTGGTGGTGACGCATTTGCCTGCCCCTAAACTAGCTGCAGCAGCAGCCCCATTTGTCGTTTCGTATCCTCCGGATAGTCCCGCTGAGACAAATGAAAATCCGTCCACATCAGCTAGACCGATAACTTCTATTGTCCAACTGGGTGCTGTAAGGTCTACAGTTAAGTTACCCGTGGCTTGGCGTCAGAACGGCGAGACTCGAAAATTGAATCAGACTCCGATCCAAAAGATAGGTAATACAGTTCCATTTATGGGTACGACGCCTTCTCTTAGATCTAACAAGTCTGTTCAGCCCAGCACGCCTACAAACCCCGCAGCTCCATTTATATCCCCGAATAATTCTCTGTCCTGTGTAACGGTTACTTATCAAAGCCCTAATATATATCCAGCAAATAATTCATACATGAATTGCCCTAAGTCATTTATGCCCCAACCTAGGTCAGGCTTCCCACCACTTAAGGCCAATGGCTCTCAAGTACGTCAACCTATCTCCTTTGACTTCCAAGCTAGACCTGGTTTCCCACCCTTTCATTCTCACAGCGGCCTACCCTCACTCACTAGCCCCTACTTTCCTTTTAGCCTCCCTCCTCCTCCCCTTCCTCCACTATTTAACTCCCAACAAATCTATCCATGTTCTAACTCCCCTAGCATTCCAATGTTTGAAAACTATATCCCCACCTCCTTTAGGTCTCATACTCAGCCTCCTCTTGCTGACTCCCCGTACGTCAATAACTCTAGACTAACTGGTACTTATTCTCCAAGTGTCATTAATTCACGGCTTACATATCCGCCTCCAATTTTTTTTTAAATACCGTCCAAAATAGCATTGCCGTTCGAAACACATTAGATATTATATTATTGAATGCCAGGTCTGTTATAAACAAGATGGCCCAAATCAGAGCCATTGCTCTGGAAATGACGCCTGATATTATATGCGTAACAGAATCTTTGACCATTCTCTAATTCCTGACTCTGCCCTTCTCATAGATGACCGCAAGACTGGGCGTGGGGGTGGTTGTCTTCTTTATCTTAAATCATACCTAAAGCACTCTCCCTATTACTTGGATGTTTCCTCATTCACGGGAAACTTCTGCTTTGCATCTGTTATTCTCTCGCCGCAAAGAAAGGCAATTATTGGCTGTATCTACAATCCCTCAAATTCTTTAGCCAGTGATGATTCACAACTCTGTAAAATCTTTAAATTAATTTCGGAAGCTGCTTTCGATGTTAAAATAATCACTGGGGATTTTAGCCTTCCTGCAATAGACTGGGTTTCCAATAGCTGCCCACCCAGATTCCAGCCCTTTCAAGATGTTGCAATTTTTCTAATTGATCGCAACTGGTGCGCTCTCCAACAAGAGATAATCACATTTTAGATCTAATCTTTACCAATGACATTGCTTCTCGTTTGTTGCTTTAAAAAAGGACCTCTTTGACAGTGACCACGTATTAATTCATTGTTGCTTACCGCTTGCCTTTTCAAAAATGACCAGCGCCGTTCGGACTTACATAAACTACGACTGCGTCGATAACGACTTTATAAATAACTATATTAGATCTTTGGATTGGTGTGGCTTCCTCACTTGTAGCGATGCAACCATTCTTCGTGATGACATGTCCAATGTTTCCAAGGAAATTCTAGAGTTTGTGCCGCGTAGATATCTCAAGCCTACTTCTTCATATTCCCTTGTTCCTCATTTTCTTTACAACAGACTAAGAAGTTGAGGCGACAGCTGAGTGACCCATCCAGTAGTTCCTTATCAGTTAATCTTAGAATCACAGAGATTTTTGAGATGGCCTCAAAGATGCGCCAAGCACGCGACAGGCAAAGAGAATCAATTGCTCTCAGTGGTTCGAACCCTGGCGAATCCGTCGCTAGCATCTTCCGTCATCGGTCCTCCTCTAAGCGTGGTCACAAACATCCACCCCTGCTAAGTGATAACAAAGTCTTCCTCACCGATGACACCGACAAGGCGGAGTTGTTTAGTGCTTTCTTTGCAAAACACCTTGCTACCGAGTCCGATCCGGTCCCTTTCTTTCGATCACTTTCAGATAGGACACTTACTACAATTGATGACTACTCAGATCTCATTAAGAAGCACATAAGCCGTTTGAAATACTCACACTGCTCAGGAACGGACGGGATTACGAATTCGATTATTATACAAGCCTCCGACCTCCTCATATTGCTCAGTCATTTATTCTCTGTTTATATTTCAAAAGGATTCCTTCCTGAAACATGGAAAACGTCAACTATCATTCTCGTCTTCAAGTCTGGATCTCGGTCCGATGTTAATAACTATCGGGACGTTCACAAAACGCCGTCTCTAGCAAAGATAGATAGATAGATAATTTTTATTAAAGACCCGTCGGGGTCCCATCAACGCTTCTTGAAAGGATTATTTTCAATGAAATTCTTGACTTCTGTCTGCTAATCGGCTTTTGAAATCTACTCAGCATGTATTTTTACCTGAACGGCCCTGCGAAACTTGCCACTTGGCATTTCTTAATCCAATCCCTTCTCTCTTTAATGAGCGGCAATTAGTGATAGTTATCCACCTTAATTTTAGCAAAGCCTTTGACGAGGTACCCCATAGACGTCTTTTAGTAAAATTGGAAGCTCTCGGCATCCGGCCGCTTCTACTTGACTTCATCAGGTCCATCTATCCAACCGATATCAGAAAGTCGTGGTCGGTAATAGCTACTCGACACCTCATTCGATCACGAGTGGCATACTTCAAGGTACGGTTCTGGGTCCGCTACACTTCCTTCCGTACATCAATGATATTTTGACTAAACTCGGACATTCGCAAACTTTTATTTATGCCGATGACCTCAAGTGTGTTAACTCATACTCTAAGGAAACCGCAAACGTTTGTGTTGAAAAAATATATGCCGTGTTACTACGCTTAAGCAGACGGGGTTCAACATGGCAGATGGAGTTTACATCATCCAAGGCTAGCTTCATGTCTTTTCGTCCTGCCAACCTTTCTCGTCCCATAATTTTATTTAAAATAACTTACTCTCAGAATGCCTCAGCATAAAGAACCTAGGTCTAAGTTACACAAATAAACTTGCTTTATCACCTCATGCAGATAGAATCTCTGCCAAAGCCGCGCAGATATGTGCATTCATATTGCATAATTTTTTCCTTCCGGAAATGAAGCTAAGACTTTATCAAATGATTATTCTTTCAGTCCTCGAATACTGCTGTCTTTTCATTGGTTTAATGAACGCCTGTGATCGCTATAAAATCGGAAATGTTCAGAGGGTTTTCATCCGGAAACTTTTCTCTCAAGCTTCGTCCAGTATTCCTTATACTCAGAGATGTCAGCTGGCGAACATGAAGTTTTTGTGGGTTAGAAGACTCGAAGCTGGCCTTTGCTTCCTTTTTCGCATCAACTCTAGCTCCAGTCTTCCGCTCATTGACACTCTCACTCCGAGAGATCGGTCTTATGCCACGCGCAACTCCTCCATGGTAATTCCGTCGCCGCCTCTTGGCATTGCATCTAAGCGCCCCCTCTTCTTTGCCTCCAAATATGCCTTCTTTTGGAAGAATCTTCTGCCAGAAATTAGGTCATCGCCTAAGTTCCTGGTATTCAAGTCGAAATGACGCATACATCTTATACTGGAAAGTATAAAGGCCCTTTTAACGGTCTCATTCAAGAACACTCAGGTTCTTGCTTTCGAGAAGTGTCTTCCTGGAATTAAGTGGTAGATCAAGTGGTAACTCTTAATTATATCATTAGAAACCCCTGTTTTGAATTGGTTTCTAAATCCACTGCTATCACTCCTCCCCCATAGCGACAATTTTCACGGTTTTTGATGTCATCTCCTGCATTCCGACCTCATGCGGTCTGTCGACGCTGAGGGCGGAACCCTCAGTATTCGCCGTCTACTAGTAATTTAGTCGTACATCCCTTCCCACTGCTCGGCGGAGCTAGAAGCGTGCTGTGGCCGATCGCGTCTGGTTTCCCCTCGTCTGGGCTCTTGGACGCGAATAGTCTCATGCGGCGTGTCAATGCGGCCCAGGCGATCTCAATTGTGAATCCCGTATACAATGCCACATGCAAGCCAGTCCTGTCTGACCCGCATACGTACCCCTCAAGGCTGAGATTTATTGCTACCCTGACGATGACCGACAACATTCCGTTATATACCGCCATATACAGGCCAGTCCTACCCGCATTTTTCTGCCATTATTTTTTATCGAGGGGTTTTTTATTCTGTAAAATTAATCCAATCTTTTTCAGATTTTTCAGTGGAGTTTTTTTTTCACATCTCATTAGTCACTTTTCTTAACAGACTACAAATTCAGAAATTATGAATTGCATTTTGTACAGATTCCGCCCACCTCGTCTAAAATTCTATGTAAATTTATTTTAACTTGCTTTGATGGGACCCTGACGGGTCTTTAATAAATTATCTATCTATCTGTCTATCTAGACTGTGTGCTTGATGTCCTCTTCTAGAAATGAGGGGTTGGTCAGGCGGGGGAACTGCCCGAGGAGTGCGTGGAAAGGACAGTCAGAAATGGGCATAACAGTGAGAGGGTTGACGCAGGGATTCACACCGGATTGACAACGGGTATGAAGGTCGGTGATGCAGTCGACGAGTCGGCGATTCTTCAAATCAACGAGTACGTTGAAGTGAGCTAGGAAATCGGCGCCTATGAGGGCGACGGAAACGTCGGCAATGGTGAAAACCCATCGGAAAATTCGACGAAGGCCCAAATCAAGTGTGATGGAGCGCTGTCCAAAGGTGGGGATGCTGGAGTTGTTGGCAGCTGTTAGACAAAAAGAGCTGCTGGTTTTGCGTCCGGACGGAGTTGGTGGAACCACGCTAACCTCGGCACCAGAGTCGACAAGATATTTGGCGCCAGCGATACGGCCCCAGAGAAACAAACGGCGAGTGTGGAGATTGGCAACGCTTCCAGCAGCAGTGGGCTCTACTGTCGGGTGGGCTCGTCTCCCTGAGGCCGTTAGAGATGCCTTGAAAGAGCATGGCTGAAGACATCATCGAGCTGCTCCTCCAAATTGTTGGTGATACCAGCAGACGCTACTTGGAGGGCGTGGGCGGCAGGTGCGGGAAACGGAGGAAGAACGCGGGCGGTTTGGTGTTTGCCGCGGGCCGTTAGTGGTAGTTGCAGTGAGCTGGACTTTCATGCGCATTAATACCTCCTCGAGCCGATGCACGGGTACATTAGCTCCTGTAGAATTTGGATTGATGAGTGACTTCTGGTCTTGGGACATCGCGCTGTAGGTCGCCGGAAGATTTTTGTTGTGGACAATATTTTTGAGGAATTCCAATGTTCGGAAATTCGGGATCACCAATTTGTGGCGGTGAAGGATGTGAGATCAACTTAAACCACACACAATAAGTTCGTTTCGCCTACTGTCAGAAGTCAGTGAGCTGTGAGGACTAGTTTATTCTGTACACAAGACAGGCTGCCGTAAGTTGGCTGTTTGCTTGCAACAGAGATAAGCGTCCGGTCGCGGAGAGCGTCAGTCGCGGTTTGTCTGTTGTTTACGCGGGTGTACATCTGGGTCAGTAGGAAAGGTGACTGGTTGAGTGTTGGTCGTGTGATTGGACAAATTAGGGGAGGAATAGGGGCGCATGCACACAATGCCTCACGGGTATCAAACCAGGGCGTTGGACGCGCGTGAGATGATGAAAGTTTGTGAGGTCAGCCGACAGTCACTGAAGTTGGACCGGAGGTGTCTGAGTGTTAGCCGGCGGGGGTGGCTGTGTGTCAACAGCCGTCGCAGCCATTGTTCGACAAAACGCAGCCGGAGAAATGGGGGACTGGAGCGGCTGTTACAATGCGACCAGACTACTAGTGTATGGCGAGTACAGGAGGTTTCGCCAGGAGCGTCGATGAAGTGCATTCTGCGAGGGCACGATGCATGCACTGAAAAATTGGAAAAAATAACATTTCTGGTGAAGGATCTTAGGAAGCGATACGATGCACAAAGGAAGGAAATGTGAACAGATACGGAAAGTTAATGGCGGCGTCCTAAATTCCTTTTGAACTTTTCTCATTTTCATAGAAAAAGTTGTCTGGGAAGGATGAGGAAAATAAAAGTTCAATCGATTCATCATTCCTATAAAGGCGTAACCTTCTCTTAAAGTTTTGTAGATTATCTGAAGATCTTATATTTATTGAAAGGTTATTCCAGAGGAAAGTATATCTGGAAGCGAAAAAAAGGGAGCGCTTAGGGGTTCGAGGAAGCTGTCGGAGGTATAATCAAGGACGAGTTGCAAAGATTGTACGGGCGACTACTAGGGGTAAGTGATGAAATCCGAGGAAGATTTGAACTATTGTTAATGCGATAAAGGAGACAGAAGCCTGCTTCTTGTCTACGAACCCATAAAAATTTTAGGTTAATTAACTGGCATCTATCTGAGTAGGAGATATTTGCATGATCCCTATCTAAAATTTTTTTGAAAAACGTCTTTAAACATTTTCAATTTTTAAACGACTAGTCTCTTTCATCAAACCAAAGAATGGGCAACAATACTCGAGAATGGGAAGTACAAACATACAATAGAGCCTTAATTTAATTTCAGGAAGACAGAAGTTGTAGGAAATAAAGCCACAAATCTGGGCAGCTTTGGCTGTAATTCTGTCATCGTGTGGCGAGAGATCAAGATTATTAGTGTAGCTTGTAGTGTAAACGGCAATTAAACTACAAACAATAATAAATATCTAACTCTAAGTGGAGGGTGTTGCGTTTCTTACAATAAAAACGACGATAGCAAAATGAGTATCAGAAAAACGACAAAAGTTAAATAATTGTACAGACTCACGATAAATAAAGCCTTCTCCACAATCGCTGGCCGTAGGGTGAATGTGCTAGGTAAAATCCGTGACGAAGTCCGTGAATGAGGCTTGTCGCTCAGGTGAAATTACGTCCAGTTAAATATGGCCAAAAGATATAAAAGTTTCGTGGCGATTGACTAAAAGCGATTGACGCAAATGAGTGCAATCAGCGAAACAATGGCACGAAGCAGCAGACGGACACAAAAGTCACGCTTTTTCACGAGTCGAAACCAAGTGTGAATATTTTAGTTAATTTAAGCAATAGTACAGAAATGTTGAGGTGTACAAGAAAGTTTAGAGTGAAAATTCGAAAATGTGAGTAAACCTACAAGCTTAAACCTAAATCCTTGATGGTGGTACATTCAGCCATAGGTGTGCCTTGAAAGACCACTGGTTGGGGTAGTCTGTCAGGTCCAAAACACAGATTTAGCGACATTTAGAAGGAGAGAATTCCATTAGCAATTTTGAACTCCAAGCTGAGAGAGCAAGCAAGTCAGCATGGATTTGCTCCAGGCAATGAAGACTCGTAGATTTATTGAAGGAATATACACATTTGAGATCATCAGCATAAATAAATGATTGAGAATATTTAACTGCCGCAGAGATATCAGTTATGTAAAGCAGGAATAAAAGAGGACCTAAAACGGTGCCTTGTAGGACACCACTTATAAAAGGGCTTCCACTGGAAAGTGAAGACCCCACCAAAACCTTTTGTTTACGATTAGATAGGTATGATTTGATAAAGTCATTAGTAGACTGTGAATAGTCTCCAAAGCACGCAGAACGACCGGGTTTATCCTCCGAAACTTCAAAACTAGGGACATCAGAATGCGCCTTTACAACATGTACGTTAGACCTGGTCTGGAATACTGTTCGTTTTCATTTAGCCTCATGCCTGCTACTGAGCGGAAGAAAATAGAATCCGTTCAACACTTTTTTATCAAGAGAATTTTAGCCCCAGAACACCGACATTTGTCTTACCAAGAACGTTGCCGGCTTACGGGCCTTGATCCTTTATCGTTCCGTAGATTATAAAAGGACTTTTTTGGCTATTTAAACTCTTATATTATCACACATTTAATCCACTCGCTGCTTTAAGACATCATATCCACCCACGACGTAACAGTCACCGCGAGGTCTTCTTATTTCTGCCTCTGGCACGTGCTGTTAAATATCGTCGATTCTATTCTGTAAATGCAATTGCTATTTGGAATAAACTACCAATGAGTGTGAAAACTCTGCAAAATTATCCTTTATGTAAGGGAACTATTACTCGATTTTTGCATTCAGAAAAGCTTCCTCAAATTTTGGGTTCTGAATCCACTGATCGACTCTACCGTAGCGATGGCGTTTGTGGTCTCTGAACACTATGGCCGGTCTCACCAGCTGTTCCTCAACGCCTCTACTTTGACTATCCCCAAATGCATGAAAGGAATTGACGTCCGATGATCTCCGATACCGTGCAACCCCCTCCCCCTCCCTTCTTGGCGGTCGAAAATCTACCGCCAGCAGTTTTTTTCTCCGGAACCCTTCAAACCATAAAAACCATCATCAGCTATATTTTTATTCTTCAGGAGTTTTTTTTCACTGCTGGTCAGATTTGTGTTTAATCGCTTCCCTTGACAATGCCTGTAAACTGGCATTTAATAAATTAAATTAAGAAGAGAGAGAGTGGCGAGTGAACGTACATGAGATGAAAGCCCAGTCACGGTTTCCGAAAGACCCGGCTCGGTACGTACATAACTACTCTTATATGACACTTGATAAAACATCACTTGAAGCATTATCCCTTGGTCCGAAATTTTGCATACCTCGTCGAAAATTAAATCAGTTAGAATTGTAAACGCAGTTCGAGAACCTCTGGAACCAAACATTCGATCTATTGCCCGTTTCCACAGACAGTATCCAACACTTCAAATCCACATTAGTGAATTGCAGCTACCAATGCCTAAACAAAGGACCAAAAAGTCGAGGATCACTGACAAAAGCACACGTGGAAAAATTAAAAGAACTTCGAGGGAACAAAGAGATCTTGGTAACTAGACCTGACAAGGGAACAGGCGTCGTCATAATGAATAGATCGGACTACGTAGCGAAGATAGAGTCCATACTATCTGACCAGAAGAAATTCAGAAAGACAGATAAAGAGAAGGATTGCACGGATGACGCAGAGGCGAAATTGACTGACTGTTTAAGAAGGCTCCACACAGGAGGTCACATAAGTGACCATGACTTCGAACACCTCCGGCCAGTCGGGACACATATTCCCCGATTATATGGCCTACCTAAGATCCATAAGGAAGGCCTACCGGTTCGCCCGATTTTAGATATGCGGAACTCTCCGTATCATGCGATAGCTAAGTGGTTAGCAGAGAAGCTCAAGCCCATACAACATCAGCTGGCACCACGCAGCTATCGAGATACCTTTCAATTCATTGACGACATTAAAGACCTCAACCTTGACGGCATGATGATGTTCTCACTAGACGTCGCATCACTTTTTACAAACGTACCAGTCACCGAGACAGTTGACTACATCTGTGATTTTCTGTCTGCCAGTCATCAAGAAATAGGACTGCCGACAAAAACACTCAAGGAACTATTACTTAGATGCACATTAAATGTGCAGTTCCTTTTTGACAACCAACTCTATAGACAAATAGACGGCGTTGCCATGGGCTCGCCTCTTGGACCTCTCTTAGCCGACGTCTTCATGGGCAAGCTGGAGAGATTTCAACTAAGCGATCAGATCAAGAAGCTTAAACATTATGGTCGCTACGTTGATGATATCTTTGCGATTGCAACCACAGAAACCGACGTCGCTGCCCTCTTAAATGCTGCAAATCAGGCACATCCGTCGATTAAATTCACGTTGGAGATGGAGTCGGCTGGTTCGCTTCCTTTCTTAGATGTCCTTCTAAACAGGAGATCTGACGGTAGCATCCGAAGGAGTGTCTATCGAAAGAAAACCTGGTCTGGACAATACACGAACTTTGCTAGTTTCGTACCTCTCCAACAAAAACGGAATCTAATCAGGTGTTTGGCACAAAGGGCTAGAAAAATTTGTTCGACAGATAGTATCGAGGAGGAACTTAGAAAAATCCAGGACATGCTTCGCGAAAATGGGTGTCCTGACAGGTTCATTGCAAAGAACCTTGCCGAACGACCTGCAAAACCCACCACACTAACCGCCGAGAAGAAAACGTTGTTCCACAAAGTCCCCTTCCAAGGAGACGCTGCAGGTGAGCTCCTAAGAAGACGCCTTGACCAAGCTGTCTCGGGAACCTTCCCAGCAGCAAGGGTTCGCATATCATTCTCCACTTACCCTATTCTACGCGGAGAAGGCAAGGATAGGCTGCCACCTCAGACCGCCTCAATGTGCATCTACTCATTCACTTGCTCCTGTGGAGCAGGTTATATTGGTCGTAC